AATCTATGCTGATATACTTAAAAACAGGTAGCCTGGTGGAGTTCAGCACCATACTGGAGGGCCGTTTGGGCTCCAAGTGGCCCGTGTTTGAACTCAAAGCCATCAACTGCATGTCCTGCGGGGACGCCCGTCTGCCCAGTCGCAGGCAGTACAAGATCGAACACGACTGGAGGCGCACGGCTCAGAACGCCCTGCAGTTTGGTTTTGATTTCTTCTTCAACCCCTTCCTGACCGCTAAGCTAGAGCAACACTCAGAAACAGAGACTGAGATAGAGACGGTGATACAGGAGGGGGGGTAGAGATCTGTCTGACACCTATTGGAGAATTAGGATACCTGATGATGACTGATAATTATACGAGTTGAAGAACATTAAGGATTGTAAATCAGTGTCAACATGTTACCCAGACATCTGTGGTATCAGTCCTGATCTTTAGAGATTGTGTGTTTGCATTAGCTTTTGAGCCAAAATATGTGAGAGCACATAATATTATGTAAGTCATTATACAAAAGGGGAGAAACACAAATGAATACGATTTTTCAAAATCAGTAATTCACTGCCTAACACAAAAAAAACACCATATCCGCCTCCTCAGCTGTGGTCAGTTATACATTTCATCAATGTTAAGCTGCGTTGCTCACTACAGTCCATTAATGAAGACATTTCATCAGATTTTGTTTGTAGTCGAACACTATGTGTGCTGAAGCATTTTTATGTACAGTAATCAGATATGTGTAGCCAAACACATTAGTATTTTGTGGAGGCGTACAAGTAGAAGAAAGATTTCTTCTATAATAGGTTGTTATGATGATGACAACGTGTAAGGGTCTTCTTTGCTGTCAAGCTTTAATCATTTAACATATGACCATATACTCTATGTGCAGTATTTTATTGTACTGGGCAATATTTTCAAGTGCCTTACAAGAGATAGCAGCACATTTAAATGAATTTGGAAGAAATTGGACTAATTCATGTCTTAAATCCTTAACCTTTAAGCTCAGCTTCATCTTTTCCTTATTAAGTTAATCTCTGCCCTCTCCTCTTCCTCCTTGTTTGTCCTTATCTGCTGTGCAGAGATTTAATATATTGAACATTTGCAGTCCCGATTGCTGTGTTTTAAGTTAGGATGTCACTACTGTTTTCTTTACTGTGGTCATAAATATAATGAAAACATTTGCTTGTTGCTGTTTTTATTCAATAACGATTGCATTATTTTAAATTGAATTACAACATTTTGAATCCTGCTTTTGCTTTGTTCATAGTGTTGAAATCACTATTGGCATGAATAAAGTAAAAAAAACAGGTACAATTAATACAAATTACTGATGGCTGGCTCATTTTCATTTAGCTTCGGGCTGACCCATCAATAAAACAGCCAACTGTTCATGTTATGAGTGTCATCGCAGCAATTTGTGCCTTTTATAGGCTGCCGAAATTAGGGTAATAGGGACATTGCACCCACTGCTGACCATCAATGGCAGCGCTGTTGAAAGTCAGCAGTTACTGGGAGTATGCCTTACGACAACCTGACCTGGTCCAACAAGACCACAACTTTTACCAAGCAGGCTCAGCATCTTACACACAGACTGAGGCCGGTGACCACATTCTACAGAGGAACCATTGATAACCTCTTAACACACTGCATCACTGCCTGGTACAGAAAACTGCAGAGAATGGGGAAAAATGCAGAAAGGATCAATGGAGTCTCTGACATCTATCGAGCCCAGAGTTTCCAAAAGGTTTCCAACATGGCATCTGACCCTCCAACTCCTCTCACCATCTCTTTGCACTACTGACATCTGGAAGCTGTTTCTAGAGCATCAAGGTGAGGCTGCATCCATCAGCACTTTGAACACTCAGATAGTCCTGCTAATACTTTTTTCTTACTTTGATAGTCCACATGATGGCGCCGTAGAGTTTCTGATTCATTGTATTCTCTAGTGGTCTATTTCATTGTTTCAATCCAGTTATTTTATAAATCACTTCCTCAATTTTCATTTTCTTTCCTAGAACTGCATTTAAATAATTCAGATGATTAAACATTTTGAAAATGTAACTTTTTTTCAACGAAACTTCACTGAACATTTTTATATCTGTATTGCATGTCTGAATACTTTGAATATTATCCCTTTATCATTGACCAAAAAATAAATCACAATTAGCATCTTTGCTAACGTTAGCTGTTGAACATAGTAGTGGAGCAACTAGCAGCTAAAGCGGCAGTAGTGGAGTTGGTAGAGACCAAACAAGAGGTAAAAGACAGACCAGAAACACGACACCAGAAGAATGACACTGTTGCTCCATGATTGTAGGTTAACAGGTAATTGCTAACAAGTCGATGATGCTGTGTTCAACTGGTTTCTGCCGCCCCCAGCTGGACAGGAAATCAATTACCGCCAGTTTATGTGATCGATTTCACCTGTGTTCTGCTGCTATACAGGCCAAAATGTCTGCTGTGGAATATTATTGTGGTATCAACAATATTTATTTTAGTCCAAAAAAACTAAAAGTCATACCAAGAGGTGGGAAGTAACTAGGTACATTTACTAGAGTACTGCACTTAAGTACAATTTTGATATACTTGTACTTAACTTGAGTATTTCCATTTTATGTTACTTTGTACTTCTACTCCACTACAATTCAGAGGAACATTGTGTATTTTTACTCCACTACATTTATTTTGTACTTTTAGATACTTTACAGATTTGGATTAATGATGTGAAAGATAACACTTAAATAAGCAGTTAAATAAGACTTTAGGAACACCTGGAGTAAAATTAACAAGCTACCCTGCAGTAGGCCTATACAAAGTCATTCAAACTAGCTGCACCTTTACCAGCTTTGATAACACTTTAATGATCAATAATTATAATCAAAACATATGATATATATAATTCTGAAATGGACGAATCTGCATAAAGAGTACTTTTACTTTTGGTATATTTAATTATATTACTACTTTGAGAATATTTTGATGCAATATTTTGATGCAAAGTAACCGTTTGATTGCAGGAGTTTTACTTGTAACAGAGTATTCCTACACTCTGGTACTTCTACTTTGACTCAAGTACAAGATCTGAGTACTTCTCCCACCTCTGGTCAGACCTTGTTAACTGTCAGTAAACAGGAGAGAGATGTCTTTGTGTAGAAAAATAAATAAAAATGCATTGATGCCAGAAGGTGGAGCTTCAGACCACTATCTTCACAGACTGTAATTATGAACCCAAATAGGCCAATATAAATTGAAGCAATAACATGCGCACATCTCCATAATGGCACCGCCGATTACTGTCGCTGTCATCTAATTACATGGCAATAAAAATCACAGATGTGCGCTCATTGGATGCAATTTCGTTGAAACCTTTATTCAGAAAAAAACATATTAACATTATTTATAACTGTCCATTTGACAATTTTGTCAACATACATAAACACAAAAATATGTGATTCAACATTAGTTTGGTCAGGACGTGGTGGAGTAAGATTGACACACAAAAAGATAAATAAAAGAATAAACTGTTCTCTAAAAATAAACGTCTGCACATCAGCAAAGTAATCTGTGAGGAAGGCTGGGAAAATGTAAGTACCATCTCTCTGCTGTAGCTTTAGAGGCAATCATCGATACAGATGATTAAGGATGTTAAAAAAACAAATACATGTCAAAAACAGACTTGATATATACAGACACCATTTAGGCCCTTTGATATTTTTTCATTTTTTCTTTTAGAGAACAACATTGATGAAAACATTCCCCATTCTTCTTGGTTCTCAGTTTCAGTCGAGAATAAACTGACTCTTGGACAGCTCATTCATAATGTACATGTAAGTGTATGAACCGAACACTGGTAAACATGCTTCAGTGTCCGAAGACACAAATAAATGTAGGACAGCTCGGTCATCTATGGTTACTCGTGCTGCAAGGGGCCCCGGGGCCCCTGAAGCCTTTGTACAGCTGGGTCTAAATGGTTAAGAAGGCAGCCAAGTCAGTCAGTCAATTTATAAACACCTAGGCTAAATTGGTTTTACATGCAGCATCTTTTTGTTTGATTGTTGACATTATTTAGTTCATTTTCATTTTTTTGCTTGATTTGAGTTGTAATTAATTGCAAAGTAGCACACGACATAGCCCGAGACCAGAAGCAGAATCCACAATCAGAGAAGTCGCAGGACTTGTTTCTGTAGACGACATTGGTGACTGAAACACACTGTGGAAAGATACGAGTGTGTGTCCTCATATTAGGCAATGGTGTAACCTCTGCTTCTATCTGCGGGACGGTAAATGTTTTACCTCAATGAACACGGTCCAGTTAAGCTCAGCTAGGTGCACTTGGGTTAAAAGGGGAGGGTCCTAAATTCATCCTTGCACATCACACGTATCATTTTAAATTGTCATCATAATAACCATCATTAAACAAGAAGTAACCAAACAAAAGAGGGGGTATCTGATCTGAAATCAAACAAACAGCTAGTTACATAAATGCCCCATTTTTCATCAGTGCCACAACCACAAAGGGTTTTTTTCTACACAAAACAGTGGGCAAGGGATAAGAATAGGCTTTGCTCGAGCACACACATACAGAAAGGAGAGGAGGAGGAGGAGGTGGAGAAAGCAAAGAAGAGCCTGAAGAACAAAATAAAGACAAATTTGTAAACGTCACTCTAGTCTGGGAGGGCTATCCCCTTCAGAATCTGTGCTGTAGCAATCAACACACCATCAAGCCCAATCCAGAAATCCACAGTTTGGACAATTTTGCCATCCATAATCCATTTTGTAATCCAGCCAGATCCCTGTCTAGCCCTTTCTAGGTCCTTTCAGTTCTGGGAGGCTGGGGAGGAGGAGCAGGAGTGTGTCGAAGAGTGGACCGAGATGTGTGTGTGTTTTCTGATCGCGTGTATGGGTGTGCTAGGCATATTCCTGTGTGTATGTCCGGATACGTGTACATTCTGGCATAGCTGTGTGTTCAGGTGTAAACTAGTTGTATCCGCCGCTGACATCCTTCATTAATGTAACTCAGAGTTGAGTTTGTCCTGGAAGATATACAGGTTGTTGGTGGCAGCGATGGCGATGATGTTCTCAGTCGGGTGCCAGGCCGTGTGAAGGATCTTCTTGGTGAAGTCCAGGCTGTCCACGCTGATGTCGTCCTTCCGCCGCTTCCCCCCCGCCGCGCAGACCCTCCGTGGCTTCAGGACAGCTCGGGGTTTGCTGCTCTCCCTCGACGCCTCCAGGGTTACGTCCCGTTTGGTGTTGCGGTCGAACATGCGGAAGAAGTTGTTGTAGGCTCCGGTCATGATCACACTGAGAAGAGGAAGAGGAGAGACTTCACAAACTAACCTTAACTCTGAACAAACAGGGTCCCTTCCTCTAAATTACAAAAAGAACACTTAACTACTGTGGTATCTGAACATGCAGATGATAATAATTGATCTTTTTTTATTTGGTTGGGTTTTGAAGATATTTTAAATGTATGTGTTGCATATTTAGATATTTTACTTAAGTAAAGGTTTGCAATAATGCACTATAAATTCATGTAAGTGCAGCATTCATAATTCTACCTACATTATTGGTACAAGTATTATCAGCAAATGTACATACTAGAATCTAGATTATCCAGAGCAACCAGGACTCTGACATTACTGCTGAATTTTCCAATATAATATTTTAAGGGAAATCTAGAAAAACAGTAACTATCTGTAGGAAAATAGGACTTTATCTTTCGATCAACTGACCTTTTAACTGTTAACCTATTTATTAATTATTTATTAACTTAAAAACCATTCCACAAACGTTTTTAATCTTGGGACTTATAAAGCATAAAACATGAAAACACTTCAGGTACCTGTCCGAGCCGTTCCAGGCACACTCGAACTTGTCAAAGATGCAGTCGTTTTCGTACAGAGAACACAACTTGCTGCGGAGGTAATCGTGAACCTGGAGGAAAACACACACACACACATTTGATTAAAAATGAGTCCAGAACACAGCTGCTTCACTCTCTATGTAAACTATAAATAGAGTGAGTAGAAGAAACACACACGCACACATTCGAAGCTCAGCACAGACAAAACACATTAAAGTTGTAACACAAACCTCCCTGAAGGCAACTCTAATGAGACTCAACAGAAGCCCTGAGCAATACCAGGGCCAGGAGTACATTTTAATCTAAACTCCTCTCCCATATCAGTAAACCCATTAACATCCAAACCCTCCAAGGGCATGATAAAGACACACGTGAACACAAACACACACTGACTAATAACTCTTTCCCCTTGTGCTTTCATTGTGTCAGCCCGTGATGCAAGGGGTTGAAATCTACACTTTCCTCGCTCTGCATTAAGCCCCCTATTTTCACATTCTGCATAAAGTCAGCAGTCAACAGTCGCCTGGCGATCAATAAATGGTCAAGCTGAGGTCGGCTCATAACGCTGTACATCAAACCAGGTGACATTTTAGTTTTTCCCTAAGGGTCTTTCTGCTCGGGGGTAAATTGGTACAGTGTCGGCTGAATATATATAGTATTTTTTCCAGTCTGCATGATCCCATGAGTTACAGTACAGTGCCTCATCCTTCATGGATTTGTGCATATTTTTCATGCTCCAGAAGGAATAAGAGTGTACATTTAGCTAAATCAGCGCAGCTTAGCCCTGAAATCCCCTTTTTCTACCCTCAGTTTACTCCATTCAACCTCTCTGATGCTCCTTTCTCCTCCTCTCATTCAAAAACTCTACCCTCCTTCTTCTCTCTTCCTCTCATCACACCATCCTCACACTTGCTCAAAAACCCTCACCCCTCTTTTCCTCCCCCCCCCCACCTCTTCCTCCATCTCCGTGCTGCATTGCAGCTCTAGGTGTCGGCCACTGTGTAAGGTATCCCTTCTTCCCGTTTCACTTTATGAGTGGAGGATCTGGCAGACTATAAATAGCTCCAGTGCGTCTTGGCCTCCCACTCCGGACTGCCTCATAGGCCCTCACAAGTCAAGCAGCCACACACACACACACACACACACACACACACACACACACACACACACACACACACACACACACACACACACACACACACACACACACACACACACCCACAACACACACAACACACACACACACACACACACAACACACAACACACACACCAGGAATACTAAACACACGCTGAAAAAAAGAGTTGATAGATACTTCTCTGCACATAGAAGCTGTTGCTGCCTATTGTAAGCACTTCAGAGTCAAAGGTTAGATTCATTTAGTGTGAATGTGAGAGATAACAGGCAAAACAATTAAAAAAACTCTTTTAACAGCTTATTACCGGTACTTTTTTTCAAAGTTTACATTTTCAACAGCATGTCAAGGCCACTTCAACTCTATCCCACATACACAACATAATGATAATTTAGTGTTTTCTAGCATGTATTTATCTGCCAAACTCACATTATCTGATGCATCTACAGATTATGGCCAAAGTTTAAAATGTAGCGCACAGCCAGGCTTCCTGGTGATGCACTGACAAGAATCTGAAGTGAATTATCTGGCTCGTAATCAATCCAATTATCCTTAAAAGGTTTTGGAAAAATCTAATCATCAGCAAGCACTGTGATTCTGAAAGTCTTCCCATGGATTCATTTTTGGGACGATTTATTCACATTTCCAGGATGACAATGTTTTCAGTAAAGGGACAGTGACCTTGTCGGTCAAAAACACTGAAGTGTGAAGGAAGTGAACGTTTTAAAGAATGGTTCTGCCAAGAGTATATTAGAAGAAGCACAGGACAGAACTGAAGACAAATCCCCCTCACAACAAACATCTGAACTTTGTTGTATACGATTTAGAGATCTGCACCAATGAAAGTAAAAACCAACATAGTGTCCTTACTACTACAAGACCCAGAAACATATTCAATACTGTTTGGATAGAGTACTTCTTAATCTCCTTAATCTAGGAGTGATGCACACCATGAAGCCAAAAGATCTGTCCTCATCTTGTGTTTTGGATTGGATTGTATCTGGTGTATTAAATGTTATTACATAAAATTAATAAAATTAGAATTACAACGAAATATTAAATGTATTTTTATGGTACACACAAAGGCTTCAAATGTAATTTAATATATTTGTATATCAACAGGGTGTGCCATTGGTTTGCTTGTTCTCACATGAGTGTCATTTTATGTAAGTTTTAATTTGCGGTTGTGGTTTAGTGAGTAAGCGGGACTTTGTGGCATGAAGGAGTAGAAAATGAGAACTGCAGGGTTATAAAGCATAATTTAATTTTACCACTCAGCTGATGAAGCAAGAACAATACAGTGGAGTGTCTCAACGGATGAGGAGATCCAAAAAAAAGAATGTGTAAATGCCTCCTTGACTACAGATCAGTTCACCTTGCTCAGAGTCATTTTGCTCCCTGCCAGAAGGGTTCTTGTTATAGCAGCTACGCCTATAGATGATATACTGTACGAATTCTCCTGTTTTGTTTATTTTAACCTCATTTTTCACATGCGGTCCCACACACACCTGGTATGTCTCCAAGGGCTTGCTCTCCATGTTGAGGTCCCAGACTTTGGCAGTCAGGTAGTCTCTGGTGAGCAGGTAGCGACCGCTGTGGCTGAACTTCACGTCCGACACGGAGGAGATGATCTCGGAGAAGAAGGAGCGGGCGCTGGGGTCCTCGGGCTCCTCGAACACTGGAGAGGGGGGGAAAGAGTGAGAGGGGGGGGGAGAGAGGGAGAGGAGGGGGAGTGCTGTTAAACCCGAGTCACATGAGGATGCTATCTTTGTTTTTATCATGTACAAAGGTAAATAAATATCTTGGATAGGTTTACATGTTGAGGTTCGTGTTGATTTATGTTATAAATGCTTCTGTGCGCAAACATCAGCACATTTTGAAGGGAACAATAAGATATATTTGACAAAGCACCTGGTAAATACAGGCCATTGAATATAACAAGAAAAATGAATCCCTTGCCGCTCGGTGTGGAACACAATTTGCAGTGTTTTCTGCTCTAGTGACTCATACTGGTCAGAGCTGTGAAACCATTTCAACTTGGAAGGACACAAAAAGAAGAAAAGAATGTTGGGAAACCATAAATCTAAAGTATGAGATTGTGCCATGAATTGAGTTGGTGTCCTTTAAGGACAACAGATGTATGGGATCACTAACCCTGTTCTATATTAATAGACATGCTTTGGAAAGGAATATTAAATGTGGAACGCATTTTCCAAACGGGACATACTTGGCTCCTCAATGGTTAGGAAATCAAACTTCTTTCAGGTTTAAGATATAAATGAACAAACTTGATGTGGTTTGATTTAATTAAGATTACACATTGAATAAACCCTGTTTAGAAGTTGCAATAGCTAAATGGAAAGTCAGGGGAGCCTTAAAGTGATTGTTCCACAGACCTTGTTGTGAGCATGCAGGAATTTCATTCTACCAAACTAAAGCCGCCGTCCGTATCAATGTGCAGTAAAAAGGCTGCCTCTACTCATGAAACAGATACTTGTTACCGGTGTAGTACTTAAAGGTCCCCTATTATACTGTTTTTCATCAATATATTATAGGTCTCAGATATATACAAAACATGTCTCTGAAGTGTTTTGCTGAAATACCAAACAGATCATACATTGTAGCATCCCATAAACCCCTCTGTTTCAGCCCTGTTCCAAAGGTGTTGATTCTCTGTCTGTTACTTTAGATGAAAATAAGGAGCCACTCCCAATGCCCCTCTGATGCCCCTTTCACACCAACGCGGTTCCCGTTCTAGCTCCGTGCTAGAGCTTTTCTGGTTCGGAACCGGTTTTTCTTTTCAGCCCCCGTTTTGTTCACACCGCTCAGAGCCCGGCTGGTGCTGCCGCTGCTGCGTCATGACGTCACCGTTTACGTCGCTGATTTTCTCCCCAACGGCGCTCACTACAACAACAATGGGGGACTGCGTCGGGTCGATGATCGTGTTACTTTTAATCATACGAAGCCAGATTAAATTAAATAACTACTTCTCCAACCTTATACTTTTCTCCAGAGTGCCGTGGTTCATTGTTTATGAATGTGTTTCATCTGAATTTACCGACCGCTGCAGTGCTGCCCGCTGTTGGGCATCACAACTGTTATGAAAGTTTCTCTGTATAAAATGGGTGATGTTAGCATAGCAACCGAAGCTAAACTGACTATCTTGACTACTTGTTGCTATCCTATTGTCGCATAAGCCGTTTTCTACAGGCACATTATACCGGCGTATTTTTCATTATGATTCTACTTGTGATAGTCGGACATGACAACCTGTGCAGCCCATGTATTGATTCCATCCGATAGCTGCTATAACACCAAAAAAAACGTCTGCCTGCTCTCCACAATGATCAATAACAGCAAACGGATGGTACAAATAAACAGAATCACACGAAGCCTGGTTAGTGTTGCCTGACTTTATAAAGTGTGTGGTTGCGTTCTAGTCACTTTGCTCAGCGCTACTGCTTGTTACAACTTGTATTTGCTGTACTGGCCATAAACTGTTAGCTCAGGTTAATCTCGCCCCCCTCCGACGTAAGAGTGACGTATGCGGTTCTTGCTTCTAGACCGACAATTTTTTGGTGCTTGGTAAGAACCGGTTTTCGGGGGAAAAGAGCCGGCTCCGCTGCGGTGTGAAAAGTAAACACCTTTAGCTCCGAACCGGCCCTGGAACCGCGGTGGTGTGAAAGGGGCATGAGAGATATTTGGTTAAGAAGAACACAATGGTTCTCTAGGAAGAGATTCAGGTGATAAGGTGGGCGGGGTTAAATTGGTTGGTTATTGGCTAATGGTTACACAACCCAAAAAATCGTTATGACATCATAAAGTGGCCAAAATCTGATCAGCTCATTTTCAGACAGGTTTTTATATAAATGGATCAGGACAAAAAGTGAGGGAATCTTTTTTCCTGAAACTTTCAGAATCTCTTTACACAGAGGGGACACATAGTTATATATAAAAGACATGAAAAAGTGGATTTTGCATAATAGGTGACCTTTAATGCATAAAAGCACTACAGATAAAAAGGCAAAGGGTGTTTTTTTTATCTTGGGGTGAGCTGCCCCTTTAATGATCTCTCCTGCGATAGGCTATAGACTAAAAAGAAACACAATGTGTATGTCTTCATGTTAGCTGTCCACAGGTTTACTCACATTTGGAGTGTTTGTCGCACAGCGCTGCCTCTCTCATGTCACAGAGGCGCAGGGTGCCTTTGCTGCTGCTGTAGACAAACAGGTTACAGTGGTGGGGGTGAAACTCAGCCGCTGTGATCACCTCCGTCAGGTCCTCCATGTTGGCTGGCTTGATGTCCACAATGTCTGAGAGAAAGCGTCATTTAGGAAGACAACAGAGACAGTCAACCTCCCACAGCCGGTGGTTTGTTTTAGCCTCAACGTTATTACCGGCTCCAGTCAACCATACAGTTTGTACATCAACGTATCTTTCATATATTTTATTCATCTAATAATTAGATAGTATTAATTCATGTGGACACCTACACAGGTCCATAATCTACATACAAAAAAAAACACAAATGTATGTTAATGTCAACCCAACAATAACAATGTGAATAATTTACAGAGGAAATAAAGCAAACCAATTTAAATGTATCTTGGGGGGATTGTGAGGAGAAAAGTAATTCCATATTCAGATAAATTGTAATATCATAAATCCTGTCTGGGTCATGGATGTGACTGCACTGTTTCCCATTGAGCTGGATTACAACTCAGAAAGAGGCTGAAATATTTATGCAGTTTTTGAATTATTCATTAAGCTACATTTTCAATCCTCAAGAATAATATTCCCCTCCCCCCACGCTGTGTGTCTTTGTGCATTTCCTTATACAGCAAAGTGGGATTTGCAATGTAGGAGTTTGTTGTAAGTGTGTGTGTGTGTGTGTGTGTGTGTGTGTGTGTGTGTGTGTGTGTGTGTGTGTGTGTGTGTGTGTGTGTGTGTGTGTGCGTGTGTGTGTGGGGGGGGGGGGGGGTGGCGGGGGCAGGATTGATTACTGAGCATGGAGCATGTACTTAATGTGTTAATGTATGCATTCATTATCTGTGTCGTTGTACTTTATTAAATCCATCCCTGCTTTTATGTGTGTTTGTGTGTGTGATGATGTATGTCTTCTCTCCTCCTCCCTATGAATACATATCAAAACCCACAAAGGATACTGAAGCTGCGGTCGGTGATGTCCAGATGCCAGAGGTTGATCCTCAGGTCGTCAGCTGACATGTAGGTCTGATAGTCGGAGTTGACGGAGATGGAGTTGACGTGGTAGGTGTGGGCGTTGGCAAACACTCGCCGCGGACTCACCTCCACCATCAGGTCCATCGGCATCAACACCGGCACCTTAAAGGACAGAAAGAGGGAGCAGTTTAGCTTCTATTGCAACTGATTTGGAGAAGAAAGATGGTCAGAGACAGGAGATTACATTTCAATAACTTCATGTATCATGAATTAATATTTAATGCCTCACTTCCTTTGACATCGCTAATACATTATTGGTTGAACCCAAACGTGCTCCTTGATAGCAAGATCAAGAGCCAATTCAGCATGAGTTATAGCTCATTTGCATTTTAATAACTTGGCATTTGCAATAAAGCACTATTTCTTTGTTGATACAGTACATGATTCACATTTTTATACACAGTTTAAGTGTGTGCCTATTTGCATACAGCCCAGCGGGAGCACCAAACACATACATTTTCTGAGACCTTCACAAAGAAGGACATACTACACATGCATTATGCAAACACAAGCAGAAATTCAGCACTACAAATGAATCAAGCATCAGTCAACTGATCTGCTGGTCAGTCAATCGTAAAATAATCCCAGTATTTTGATAATGAAATAATGGTTTGAGTAGTAGAAATGGCAGAAAATGTTGCCTTCAGCCTTTCAAATAGGGGATCATTTCTGATTTTCTCTGTTTTAAATCATATTAATTTTTTTGAATGACACACATTTAACTCTATCTATAACATTTTATAATCCAATAATCGATTAAATAATCTGCAGATTAATCAATTATGTTAATAACATTTAGTTGCAGCCTTGGTACAGATGCTTGCTTTCCCACTACATCTGGTAAAGGGGGTTTCTCCTCCCTCACACACTCATGTACACACACATGTACCATTGTGCCAGTGACCCAATTTTGCATGTGGAAACACATCTGTACCCACTGACCCAGTTATGCCACACAACCTGCTGCATTTATAAATGTTTTAGTGTCTTGAAGAGACAGGTTAAAGGAAGCACACACAGACTGACACACAGATACAGACACACAGACAGACACACAGATACAGACACACAGATACAGGCATAGAGACATGGACGGATGGGTGATACCTGTAGGGAGGTGACGGTAGAGAGGTCCTTGATGCGACCCTCCTCATCCTTCAGGTTGTATCCCTCTGGCCTTTTATCTCTTTCACTCACCTTCCACAACTTAATGGTCTTATCTGGGAATCAGAAAGGGACGTTAGCCGATCACATAGGACAAGATTTAATCGGAAGTGTAAATTAAAAAGGTGAAATTAAAGGTGCTTGTTGATGTAGACGTATATGGTATATTTCTGCAGCTCTAAAACATCCACAGTTTTTATGGAGAACGGGGAAAAAAATAATCCCTGTCTTCGAAGAAAGCTTGAAATCTTAAATTCCATGTGTAAACATATAATCAGAGTAAGCTTTATATAAACTTCCTCTCAAATCTGTAAAGCCAAACCATCAAATTAAAAAGGCTCTTTGACGATTTCAGCACAAGGACTCAATCAACTCACTCACTTTATCCCATGAAGTGAGTTAATAGGTAAAGATAATCATCACTCTTCAGACTGTCAGCTCTAAAAGACAGCTGACTCTAAAACTCTGGATGAGCAGACAGCGAGGTTTGTTTTATTAACACTGACTGAAACAGAGAGTCTCTGCATTGAATACACAGCAGCATTATCCAACATACTGCTGAGGCAGTTCATACCGTTTTCATACCTTCAATCATAAATAATATAGTACTTGAATAAATCAATAACAGTGCGCTCAGGGAAAATCTATAGATCTTTTAACATAGCCATAAAGTCAGAATGCACACTGATGACAGGACCTCTTATACAAAGGCACATATGCTCCTAATGCTCTACAGAAACGTGATGCAGCAACTCTTTCCCTTCAGTTCAGATACAATTAGCTTTCAAACTGTCCTTTCAATTTCAACTGCACTGCCATGCTCTTTACTCTGTCAAACTCCCACTCCATCAAAATATCAACCAATCACATCACTACTGCCACATCTTCTGGTTCCCATAAAACGCATGTGTGTGGGTTCTCTCACCGTTGGTGGAGAGGAGGAAGTGTGCGGCGTTCTGCTGAGGCAGCCATCGGATCTTATTGATCTTCTCCTCGATCTCCAGACTCTTAAGGTAGTCAAACTCGGGCTCATGGCTCTGGAAGGTGCTGTAGACATTGTACTCTCCCTGGGAGAATGGCTCACACTTGCTCTGTGGGGAAAAAAGAGGTAGATAGATATAGAACGTGAGGAGAAAAATGTGCAATTATTAAGTAAGAAAATTCACCGATTACAGTTTTTTGCAGGCAGGTTTTTTTTAAAGTTTGACCTGCTGATTGAATCCAAGAACTTTAACCGGTAGCGTACAGACATATTTGTGTATCTTTGATTTCGTTTTAAATTGAAATTTGTATTTTTGTATTGTATATTTATATTAGAACATTGACTAATAAATAACTGTCTCTAAAACTGCAACAACAGCACTGTTTCTGCTGTAAAAAGCTAGTCACATACATTTTTCCTCCACTTTTTCAATTTGCAAGCACTTCATCTTCTACAATCAGGCTGAAGAGCTTCCACAACAACATCATGATGTGTGCATGTGTGGCTGTGAAGTTACTGATTATGGATCAAGACTCAAACTATCCTGTAGCACATGTTAATAGGAGGGTTAAATGAATGAAACACATTTGAGAATCAGCCAGAAAGCTGACTATGGACCGGTGGCCGATCAATCCGAGCACCTCCATCAAATATATAACCACAGTTCAATGCGACACCCCGGCTGAAGCCAGTCAGCCATCATCTTAATCATGTAAAGAAATAGCATTGCACGGACTCTGCACAGCTCTAATGATACACTCTGTGACACAGCAGGACTATCAACTATTTATCAATCAATCTGGACTGTAGCTGGAGGGGAACAGTGTGCGTTCATCACAGCTCCAGTAGCTGGAATGAAAAATTGTACGTGTGTGTGTGTACGAGTGTGTGTGTGTGTGTGTGTACGAGTGTGTGTGTGTGTGTGTGTGTGTGTGTGTGTGTGTGTGTGTGTACCTCAGGTTCCCTCTGAAAGATGACCACTCGGCCTCCTTTGTCCCCTGTGGCCAGGAGCTCTCCAGTGTGGTTGAACTCAACAGTGGAGATGATATCAGCTGGATAGAGACGCAGATTTAGACAAAGATGGAGGAAGAGAAAGAGAGATGAAGCATGAGAGGAAAGAGGAGTGGGGGGGAAGAGAGAAGGAGCAACCATTAGCTGATTGACCACACATCATCATTCATCTATATAATCTGTTTATGAATTATTGAAACAAATCAATGCATTAACATGTAAGTGGATTAAAATATGCAAATAAGTGGGAAGAGTAAAACAATATTTGATTGGTAACACAAATATTGTGCAATTGTGTGTATACTTTCAGAGAAATGTCAGATAATACAGCATCAAAACATAGAGAAAAACACACACAAACACACTACTGTTTCACACAAGGCACAGGTGTTATCTGTAATCCAGAGTGACACATACACAATGATGCACACCATGACACTTCCAGTACACAAGATAAGAGTGTAGATTGAGTTAATTGTATAATAATAATAATGTAATCTATCAGCTCTGATGTGTCATAAAGTGTAAACACAACTGAGAATAATTTTGCATTAAAAGATCATTTTTAATGTCATTCATTTGCATATTAGCAACAAATGTCGCCATCACTATCTCTGTGTCGTGAAACGCCAGCACAGTCTGACTCAGTGACAACGCTATGAGGAGTAAGCTTGTCATTAATCACATTTACTTTAACGTGTGATGCTTTAGTCGACATTTTGTGGCAGAAAACATGTTGGTATTTACAATTCCTTTAAAATAATAATAAGCTGAGTTTCAATGGATAAGAGGTGGTATAGTATGAGAGGATGTAGGTAACCTGGTATGAAGCCATGTTAAGTTATCTCAGGTCATCTATTCTTCAAAGTTTAAATTAGCCACATTAAGCTTGTTTAATAGCCTGTTGTTCAAGATCAACAATGCCATGGTCAGGATTGGATGAATTAAAACATCCATCATCATCTAAATATTTGATGTCAGCCCAGATGTTGACCTGCTTTGTCCTCTTCCTACATTCATGCTTTTCAGTCGCCCTAAACCAAATGTATTTAGCAAAACAAGTTCAGTTTGTTTACCAGCAGAAGTGAACTGATTGTTCAGCTCAGTTGTGAAGTTAAAATGTGTGGACTTCCCACTTATTAATACAGTAGCTGTGTAGAAAACAAGCAGTTCATGCTGGTGACAGCAATGACTTCAGTGCTGACTGGATTTTTCTAAACTGATCTCAAACGTTTTAACATCAAACGGTATCCATACTGTTGACCCCACATAACCCCTACCAACAGACTGCATCAGGTACAGAACTGGTTCAGAATTCACACTGATTATTTTACCTTAAGTAAAAAAAGCTTTTTCAAATAGATAGTTGTTGGCTTTCTACAAAGTAATGCACCTGGATTAACCATGATTAAAGACAAATATAATAAATAGTAACCATGTAAGCCTGTAACCTCCCTCAAACAACTATGAAACAGGATTTACATTTTGTACAATGTATATACATTTATATACAGCACAATTGCTTTAAGTAACTTGTGCAGTTTATGGTGGTGCTAGCTTAGCATAAACGATGACCTAGTATAAAGATAATAAAAGTCCTGCATAATGTTGTGTCCGTGAGAACATGAAAAGCGGGCAATGTAGATTTATTTGCCTGATTACGATTCATAACTGATCATATCATCTTCAAACCTATGTATGCCTGCTAAAATCACAAAACCTTCAGTTTTTGTTCTTATTATTTGGGTTATTGAGAGAAAGCTGCAAAACCTTTGAATCCAAAGCAGTCCCACAAGTAACACATGTGTTTATACAGCAAAGGCTGCAATCTGCTGCTGCACTACCAAATAATCAAACACCATCTTCAAAAATGTCAGATTAGATTTGAAAAAATCATTTCATGTCAGGTGCTGTATCCCACTAAGCCTCCAACAAAGGAGTCCACTGAGCTTAGTTTTGATAGAAAGTGGCCTGGTCCTCAATAAGCATGGACTGTAATAAAAAAATAGAGTGTGAAGAGTGTATTTATTGAGAGTCTGAACGATTCAAAGCTGTAGCCTTGACCATTATGTGGTGGCCTTGAGAGAGAGAGATTTTATGATGAGGGGAGGCAGGGACTGCTCCTCAATCTCTAACTCACCCTGTTACCCTCACACTTCATGTATTACTGCTTCTATCATTTTTCCACTAGTCATTGCCCTGTTTCTTGATCTCTCAGTCACGACAGCACCTGCTTTATTCTTCAATTTCAATTTATTTAATCTATTTCAGCTTTTTTTTCAATCCCTCTCCCCCCATGCGTTCTTTTGTCATCTCTCATCTCATGTTCCCCAGTTTCTCTCTTTTGACCCATTTCACTCTCTCTTTTTCTTCCTGGTTGTCTATCCACATTCATCTCTCTCTCTCTCTCTCTCTCTCTCTCTCTCTCTCTCTCTCATCCCTCCCCCATGGCTCTCTTGCTGCCTGGCTGTATGTAGCTAGCTTGCATGTAGCTGTGGTGCTGATGGTGTTGGAAGAATAGATGGAAAAAGGGAGGTGGAGGGAAGAGGTGCTGGGGCGGAGGCGGTGAAGGGGGCCTTCGGTGAGCAGGGGTTGCCATGGTAACAGGCTGAGCCAACCAGTGGCGGGGGTGCTCGTAACGGTAGCCGTATAAGGCAGTCTGGTGAAGCAGGAAGTGAGATTCATCAATCCAAACCTCGCAGGAAGAAGGAGCATGGTAAAATAATTATGGCGTGGCAGTTTTTTTTTTTTTGCTGACAAACATTGACAAATTAATACCAGAAGGTGGACAGGCACTGCGGTCCAAATTGAGGATATGAAGATAATGAATGCACATGATGGCACTAAAACAAAAACAGACCCCCAACACATGCAGTGAAATTCACAAACACACATACACACACGAAGCAGCTTTAAATGCACACAGTCACGTAATGATGCAAGCGTGTGTGTGTGTGCACGCCCAACACAGTTACAGATAATCGTGTCTCCACTCAAGACGCGCAGAGAAAGAGCCGAGCTAAGCAGGAACCCACAGGAGCTGAGCACCACACAATGTAGCTGAATAAAATATGGAGCACACACTCTCTCACATCCTCTGTCTGTTCTCAAACTGAACCCTCTTCATCTCTCTGTGTTTCTCTCTTTCACGCTCACAACCATCCGTCTCTCTGGTGCTCTTTATTAAAAAAAGAGTACTACAGAAGAATAAACCTCTAAGAACACAATTAACTCCGGCAGAAACTAGCATCATCATCAGGACTGGCTGTGGCCCGACACCGGCCAATGTGCTGATGTAATGTGTGTGTGTGTGTGTGTGTGTGTGTGTGTGTGTGTGTGTGTGTGTGTGTGTGTGTGTGTGTGTGTGTGTGTGTGTGTGTGTGTGTGTGTGTGTGTGTGTGTACGGGGGGCTGTCTCTATGGCTGTCAAGCTGTAAATCAATATAGTGGGGATGTGTGTGTGTGTGTGTGCAACAGTATAGCAAGCTAGCGGTGTCTGTCTCCCACAGTCCATTAGCATCAGCAGGCCTGTCTGACGCATCGCAGTGCAGGCACCCACACAGTACACATCAACACAAAAACACACACAAACATGAATTAACTCAATGACCACACAAGCATAAAAAAGCACGCACAAGTGATGAACACTCAACACACATACACCCTCAAATGCACTGTGAGGTGTTTACAAGGAGAGCAGCTCCTTTAAAACACCTCATATGTGAGAATGTGCATGTTGTTCTCAGTTTTATGTCATTGTTAATTGAATATCTTTGAAAATGTGATGACAATACTAGTAATTCTAAACGACAATGACATAAATAGCTGAGGAAATAAGTCAGTTATATGTATCTGCAACAGTTAGTTCAAATGACAAACTCTCCCTAACTCTAGCTTCTAAAATTGCAAGGATATTTTGCTTTTCTTTGTATCAAATAATAACAAACTGAATATTTCAGTGTTCTGGATGATTGGTTTGAAAAAACTAGTAATTCAGAGAAATTTAATCAGCATATTACTATTTTCAAAAATGTCTAATCGATAAATCAGCAAATGAAAAATAGTTGTTGGTTTGAACCGTAGTCTGTATTAAATACTTTAGGTCAGTGCTCATCTATAGCATCTGAAAGGAGAGGAGAGGAGAGGAGAGGAGAGGAGAGGAGAGGGAGAGGAGAGGAGAGGAGAGGAGAGGGAGGTGGTGTTGGGAGAGGGAGGTGGATTTCCTTATTTCTTTTGTTAAGGGACAGAGAGGGGAGCAGACGCCCTACAGACCCAATTATAGATATCTTAGGACTGGGTAAACAAGGACCATTAAAGCCACGCCAAAAACGCACAGCCCTTAAAAGCGAGTACAAGCCACAGCTCAGCAGGAGATGTGTGTGTGCTGCAGCTCAAACACCCCACATTTCCTGTGTATGTGTGCACAAGTGTGTATACTCAATTACCCTGTAGAGAAATAGACTGGTTTGAGGGAGAGGAGGGAGCGAAGGAGGCGAGGGGGGAGACTGCCGGAGGGAGATGTTAAATTGATCCCTGTCCTGCAGTTTTGGAGTTATCTGCAAAAAAAACGGGTGCCTGTGTTTGTGTTAGAGGTGCACATGTGTGTAGAGGAGTGATTTAAGCCGGGCACAGCAGGGAAGCTGCCATTTCTCCAAACACACACCGGCACAATGGAGCAGAGCTAGTGTGAGTCTAATGGTTATATAGACACAAACAATTAGAATCATAGACCGGCCAGCTTCAGCGTGTGTGAAGTACACCTGTCATCCTGCTCTGCCCCGCTGCAGAGACATCTCTCAGCTGAGTGATTCATTTTTGATGGAAATCAATTTGTTTTTCCAACAGATTTGCCAGACTGTAACATCAAAAAAGATTAGGGGCTTAGCTGGTTTACACCCAATATAACCCCGGCTATACTGAACACACAGATTATGTGTCAAAGCCTCAGAAATACTGCGATGTAATCCCATATTCAGAACGCTCTTGCCCTTTTGATGCTACTCCTATCTTTCTGTGTAGAGCGGAGACGATTAGTCGATGGACGGAAAGTTATTCTGCAATGATTTTTGAAATGTAATGAATTAATGCTTTTTAAGGAAACAATTAAATAAATTCCCTAGTTCCACTTTCTCTGGTGTTTTTTGTTGTTGATCTCTTCAGTCTTTTGTGAAAGCAATATTAACACTTGTGGACTGCTTGTCGGCAGAACAATAATTTTGAAGGCAAGGAGGGATTGCAGCAGGCATTATACAACGTTTGAGATATTTTATAAACACACAAAATGAGTCACAAGTTGAGAAAATAATCAGCAGATGAATTGGTAATGAAATAATGGTGGGATGCAGCCCTGCCTGTGTGGTATGAATGTCTGCACAGTCCATAGAAAGAGTGTCTGTGTGTGTCTTCTTCTGTTAAACAGAGGAATAGGTCAGAAATATGCATCGAAGGGGACAGGGTGTGGTCTGGTTAAACTATTTAAAGAAACTAAATCCCACACTCACACATAATCCACTTCTTGTCTGAGACAAAAATAAAGAGGCAGGTACAAAAATAGAGACATATAAAAAATGAGGTAGACAGACAGACACAAAGTGATGTTTGAGATATTTATAACACCCACGTGACAACTCACCTGACTCACACACATGTTTTATGACACACTTTCGCATTCATCCACCTACACACACACACGACCTCTCACACTGGGGTCATGTGGCGCAACTGTGCGACACAGATATGACCTTCGCGAAAGAAGAGGATAGAGCACACACCTTCAGTGTAAGAGGCAAACGGCTCGGGCTCCAGAGAAAGGGTAGTGATGTCGGAGCAGAGGACCTGGATGGGGCTCAACATCCTGGGGGAGGACTCCAGGGTGGAGAGGGGTGGACAGGATGGGCGGAGCTCTTCAGGCTATAGCCAGGAGCAGCCCTGCAAGAGGAGCAAGGATGGAGGGAAAGGGAGGAAGGGAGGAAGGGAGGGAGGGCAACAGGGAGGAGCAGAGGGAGAGGAGGGAAGGACCAGGGGGGGTGGGATGGGCAGGGACTAAGTTACTGCATCACCACAGCTGGCCATGAAAAAAATACTGATACTGTATTTATGATCATTCTGTATCAAACAGGATGTATTCACATGTTGGGTTTGGCAGGAAGGCTTGCAACACATGCGGGATAGAGACAGAGATACACAGAGAGTTTTAGTGTGCCTCTGATCTGAGATAAGGTTCTGCAGAAGAACGTAAAAAGAAGCAAAGTAGCTCTTACATTTTCCTAGAGGTGATCGACAATGATTGACAATTAAAGAAGAGCAGTGAGAGCTGGCGAAAGCTCACTTACTTACATACAGGTATGATGACTAACAATTACTGTCATTATTGATTGGTCTGTCTGTTCAAATGTCAAACATAACGACATCTGCTCATCACAGGTTCCTAAAGCCCAAAGCAATCTATAAACGTTTAAGTTTGTGTTAACAGTTTAAAAACCCAAAGGAATACAGTTTGAAATGATGTGAAATTAAGATATGCTAGTCAGTATTAATGTTGAGCGAATGTTTGGTATTTTAAAGTTACTTATACACATTTAGTGGTTTTCACTTGACAGCATTGATACTTTTGTATACAGTGTATACTGTATGGGCTAGTGTGCTTGCATTTTTATGTTATATGAATGACATGATTTAATGTCATTAAACTCTCAATAGATAGAAATTGAGAATTTTGATGTAAAATATAATTGTTATTATTTCCTCATTCAGCATTGAACCCAGTCAGGGTCCGGGTGTAGCAAAAGGAGATGTTGGGGAGGTCAAAAGAAGGGAGAGGGAGGGAGTAAGAGATTGAGGGAAGTGGGGAGGGCAGGGCAGGTAAGGTAGAGGGAGGTTAAGCATCCCTCCTCTGAAGGAATTAAAGGGCAGGGGAATCCCCACGGGAAGATCTACACACTGTATTTATGCGCACACACACACACACACATATAAACACACAAAACCCTTCCAGACCGACAAACATACACACATCAACCTGAGCAAACAAAATCAACACAGTATGCACTGATTGAAACACGCGAGAATATGAATGCAACACAGGCAAAAAAAGATGGAGACACACAGGAGCTAACAAAATACACCCAAGCATAAAATCACACGCACCCCCTCTCTCTGCCTTTCTCTTTTACACACACATAAAGAGGTACATTGTGTTGGAGCAGCCTTTGGAGTATTGTTGGATAATTGTTTGGCAGACGCGCCACTTCAGCAATGGGCAACGCTGCGAGTTGCATTAGAGGAGCGACGGCGAGAGGGAGAGCGGGAGGCAGTGGGGGATGGAAATGGGGAGGAGGACGGGGGATGGGGTGAACATTGAGGAAAGGTGGAGGGGGTTGGAGTGGATGTAGAAGAGGAGGCAGGTAATGATTCATTTAGTATATTTGTGGCGGAAATGTATCCTCTTTGGTCATTCTGAGGATTGTTGTGAGATTGATTTTCAGAGCACAGTTTGTAATTATCCTTCTGCAACTTAGTATTTTAGTGCTGTCCATGTGTTGTACCCCCTTTCAGACCCACAGTGTTCAGGGGTGAGTCCACCTTGCTCTGAGCTCATCAGCAATTCACCCTGAATAATGTGTTTCTGCCTGAGATGTGTGGAATAATTAATACTGCCATTATTGGTGGGTGGAGACGACCTGTCAGTCATATTGGCCAAGCATGAAGCGGCATGTTTATCATCCCGGGCTGTTGCTATAGCAATAATGAATGGTTGGTGATGGATGTTAAGACTGATTTTCTGCCACTCACTCATTACAATTGTTTCCTAGGTAAACAAAAGACACACGTTTCTCATTGAAATACTGTATGAGAAACAAAAGTCAGACACAGACACACACACACACACACACACACACACACACACACAGCACACACACACACACACACACACACACACACACACACACACACCCACCACACACACACACACACACACACACACACACACACACACACACACACACACACACACACACACACACACACACACACACACACACACACCACACACACACACACACACACACACACACACACCACACACACCACACACACACACACACACATTCTTTAATCTTCTTAGCAATTCAATATGTTGAATGCACACACCAGCATTTACACAGTCAACAGGCAGCACTACAGGTCTCCCCTGACTACAGTATGTGCTTCTGTCTGAGGGCTATTAAATTACAGCACAGACACAGGAAGCATAATTCCCTTACTGCAGTGATACAAATTAGCTCGCAACACGTTCATGACCCCCAAATGATAATCCGTTGTTCTTGTATAAGAGGCGTGGCGAACAATGAGCTGAGTGTAAGAAACAGATTGGGGACAGGAGGGCGGACAGGGAATCTAATGTGCAGGTGAGATTAGTGGTGTAAGTGAGATTAGCAGAAGTGGGTTATCCAAGATTATAATCCATAGATGTTATGAAACAAACCAAATCATTATTTGGTTTGCAGAGCTTGTGTGGGCATATTAGTATTCCTCCGGCTGGGAGGTGATACTCCAATATATTCAATTTGACACTATGCTTGTGTGTGACTATCAGGATGTGAGAGATGACAAATGAGTAAAAAAAAAAGAATGTTCTGGACATTTCTGCTATGATAATATTCTCCCACACAAACAGAATCATACACACATTCGAATACAGGCCAGATCAATACTTCCCTGCAGTGGGACAAAATAGCTGTTTCAAAAGGTTACAAAAGCATACATAAACAAAACACAGAACTGAAAGGTGAAGAAAAGATGAGGAAAGGAGGCGGAGAGGAAAACTAGCTTTCGGTGGCTTCATTTTGCAGAGAGGACAGTGTTTAACTCCCTAGATCTTGTTGCTTCGTCTGCAACTCTGCTTGATCAACACCGAGCTTACAGAAGATTAGGAAGCCGTTCTGAGCTTGTATTTGCATACCAACTCTCTGTTACACTCACACACACATTCCAGAAGTGTGTCACATAAAAAGCACACTCACATGGGGGCACACACACTTTGTTACATCCAGCAGATGCAGCTTTCTCCCTCCTGGTCTTACCTTCAGTCACATAGTTGTGGTCGGGGAGGAAGCCGCGGTGGTTGAGCGTCGGGGGGGCGTCAGTGTCTTCGCCCATCAGCGGGGCTGGGGGAAGCGCCCGACTCGGTGGGGCAGCGTGACGGTGGCAGATCGGTGGTGGAGGGGGTGGTGGGGATGCCGGCCAGCACAGAGCCCATACTGTTGCCCGCAGACGCCTCCTCAGCACAAGGGCGCAGAGCGGGGCATCCTTTCCTTAGAGGAGGAGGGGGTGGGCCTGTCCCGAAGGAGGGATGGATGCGTGCTGGAGTCCACACTTCTGAGAGCCAGAGGCAAATCTGCAGGAGGAGGATCATATGAAAACTGTTCAGAAACTACCAGGGGTGAGCTTGATTTGTGTCTCACACAAGCTCAAATCACTTGTGAGGCAAGCAAAATCTAGCGCACCCTGTGTCCACTCAGCAGCTACTGAGTCCAGGTGTGGCCAGACTCATTTTACTCTCGCCACACACAAAACACACAATTGTCCATACTTGTTAATGCTCTCACTCAAAACAAG